CACATACATAAGCGTGTTCGGTAACGTCTGTGGATTGAATTTATACGAATATATCGCTCGTTCTAGCTGCTTCTGATAAAATTCGGTTTCCGCTAATAGTCGTTATCCTGTTTCGAGTACATACTGCGAATTTTGAAATTTGAAAATTAAATTTGAAGCAACCTGAGAGAATTTTTGCGCACGAGAAAACGACTTCGACGAGTAAGAAATATTTAATATAATTTTTTTGTATATAAATGATTATAACTGTAATGCGCACGTATAAATATCTTCGTAGTGATATCAAAATACATAAACGCACGCATGTCGTATAAAATTTCACAACTTTGTAAAAATATATTTTCTATTATTTCATTTTTGATTTTTAAGATCAAAGATATATTTTTACACAGAATTTTGACTTGCAAAAAAGTAAAACACGCTATTTTCTATGTTTCCGGAATAAAATTATTCGAATCCGATTCGCGCGCGCGCGCGCTCACGAAAAATATCGCGTCGTGAAATTGGCAGAGAGAAATAGTTTCCCGTAGCTAAAATTTTCTCTCTCACGGTTTTGGCATCGCACCGCGCGCGATGTTTATTGCCTCATTTCACGCGCCTGTACAACTGCTTACTGTATTGTAATGCGGCGCTTTTGAGCTACGCGCGCGCATAAGTTCACCTTCTCGCATCCCGTCGATCGAGTACTTCGAAACCAGGCACTCGCGAATTAATTTTGCGCGAAGGCTAGCGCTCGCGCTTACTTCAATTAATACGCGTTGTCGCATATATACATATATGTTACGGTATGTGTGTAATGTGCGTGTGAGGGAAGTATGTTGATGGTGGGATCGATCGATACACATGAAACTACGAGCGATATATATATATATATAGAAAGAGAGAAAAATATATGTGTGTGTGTATGTGTAATATATACATATATACATATATGTATATATACTTATATGTAGACAGAGATAGAGATAGACCGAGAGACAGATATATATATATATAGAGACATAGGTAAGTAGATAGATAGATAGATAGATAGATAGATAGATAGATAGATAGACAGATAGATAGATAGATAGATAGATAGATAGATATAGATATAAATATAATAATCAGATTCTGAACGACTCGTTTCTTCGTGTTTAGCATTAATGAAAATGATCAGAACCACACAGGCTAATATATATATAAACATAGAATATTTTAACTATTCTACTGTCATCTATGTATTGTTCTATATATTTTCGCACTTATTCGAGCTAACATAAGCGTCGAATTCTACATTCTCGACATTGCAGTGTCGCGAATATCTTTCCGCTGCTTTCCGCGTGTTTAAAAAATTGTGGTATTTAGTTTAGGCGAAAGATCTCGTTGCATTTTTTTACCAAGCAGAAACTTTTTACCTCTTACGGATCACATTGATGTTTCTTGTTGTTTTGAGAATGTTTGTGGAGCTTTATAGAATTGACTGCAAAATTAATGATACTTTCGAAAGAACTTCGCGCAAGACAAAAAAGCGCGCAAAAACTCGATAAAGAATTAACGTGATCGTTGTTCGAGATTTCGCGGTGTAAAGAAGTAACGGGAGACAATTGCGCGATTTGTATCACCCAACTTAGCTTGATCTTAACATTAATTTCAGCCGTTTTTCTCAACGTATCGAGCTTGTCTCACAAGCAAGACTGTTTCTTTTTCTCTTTCTTACATCGATCTCGATTGTTCTCTCATGCAATTATAATACCGAGTCAAAATAAACGTATATCGCAAGAAATTTTGCTAATCTTAACTTGCGCATTTGTTTGTCGCTTGAAACTCAAAACTCTGTAACATGTAATTATCACAGATTTGCCTATCTAACACGTAATGTTAGCTGCTATATCACAGGACGAAATCGGACAATCGGGATCGACTGTGTTTTTCCAAGATATGTACGAAAGTGGACGGAGAAGGAAATTGCCGTGGTGCTTCCTTTTGCAGCAATTATGGGTCTGTGCACGCATAGAGAAGGGAACCTCTTTTTTCGTGATCTTTTCCCCTTTTCGATTGTCTTGACGGCCACAAGTCCCGCGGCGTGTAAAAAGCTTTAAGAAACAGTGCCCTTTTTGTCTTCTCCTTCACTTTACTCTCTCATGTTAATGTAGTAGCGGCACACCACTGCAACGCTCAGCCGGCACAAGCATGCAATTCTCAAACATCCTCTACTATCAGTCGTATAAAATCACGAAGCCTGCATATAAGTCTTTTTCTTATTTGATTTCTAAGTGGAGTAGGTGTGGGTGTGTGTATACGTGTGTACGTGCGTGTGTGTATGTGTGTGTGTAAAACGTAAAAAATATAAAACTTATAAACAGGATTAATGTCCTAAAACACTGGGATCTGGTCCTCTGTTTAAGAATGCGTGACAAAAAAAAATTTGTGTCTCGTGTCTTCGTCATTTGTACAGTCAGTCTTTGCACGAGTTTTTTTTTTCATATATGGAGGTATAAATTCTCAAAACAAATAAATGTACCATATGTGATGTAATCATAAAAAATTTTTGTAAGCTAATGCTACAAAAAATAATAAATCTCAATATAATATAAAATACATGATGTAATCACAAAAAATGTCTGCGAGCTAACATTACGAAAAATAAAATAGATCTTGACATCTTTTTTATACAATCTACGTATATATTTCAGTTATTGTGTGCGTTATAAGTTTTTATGCGTGTTGTGTTGTATGACTGTTTTAGTTTTGTGTCGTTTGAGCAGCGATGTAATTTGTCAAGTTTTCGAGCAGAGCAAAGTGATAGCAAAAAAATGAATAAGAGAGATATATACATGTGTATATATATATAATAAAGAGTGTAATCGTAGGTGTCTAGCTGATGGGAGCAAAACGAAGAAATGAAAGCCAGTGCCGAAAGAGCAAAGGCAATGTCAGGCCTTGCGTAAAGCCGCTCTTCTTCATTTTGTCTTTACACTCAACTATTCTCAATCTGCTTTTGAGCTACCGTCTCATCTCCCCCCCGTTGCATCTACTACGTAGGCGTTCGTATATTATACATCGTCATGACACAAAATTGCTACGATAAATTCTAGTGAAGTAATTAAGAGGATCGTGAAATGTAATCGATAATTAATTTTCAATCAATTTATAATACTCAAACATAACAAAATTGTTTGGAAACGATACGTTTGCTCAGAATTGCGTTAAAATTATGTTTACACACGAGACGCATATACGTTACATTGAACTACATTATTCGTCTCGGAAAATAGTAGGAAATATATTCGAACCTGTCAATATTGAAAATACAGTATAAAGAATTGTATGAAACAATTTCGGAGTAAAAATTCGTATCGCATACAAGTGACAAAACTGTTCTGTCTCTTTGCAATACTTCTGGATAAAATATCGCGTGCGTTCTCACGTGTCAAAAAACTCACTATGATAAAGTGCGACATTTTTCGAGTTGTTTTTATTTCTACAACAATTTCGCGAAAATGTTATTTGTGTTTTCTTTTATTCCGCTAGCATCAACAAGGTATTATCAACGATGTGAGTTTTCACGTTGCATTTTTATAAAAAAAAAAAGTTTATTCAGTGTGTTAAAAAATCAAATTAAAAAAATTGTTCTTTTCTTTTACTTCTTTGATTGTGTGATAGACGTAGAATTCGACTTCTGTTAAAGCAAGTCGTTATGACGATCTCATTACGTAAAATCACATCCAACTAGATATAAATAGAATTTGTCCACTAATGAAGGACTTTTTTCCCGGGTAATAGGAGCAAACAACGAAATTACTTTCGGTGAACGCATGATGTGCTAATTTTATACACAGCGAAGGAACACAAAATAGACACAATTGCGGTCCTATAGTGAGAGGTTACGGGGAGAGAGAGTATCGAGACAAGAAACCCAATTAATTAACTAGTAAGAGTTATGGCAAAAAACAGCTTTTTTTTCAAAAGGGGGAAGGTTGATACCCAGAGGTGCATATGTCGGAGAAAACAACATTCGCCTCGCGCCACTCGACGATTATTTTTTTTAATTTTTTTTTTTTTTACGTGCGCATGCACAACGATCGATATCGTATTGGGACGTGTAGATACTCTCTTAATTGGACCAAAATATGTTTGTTAATTTGCGTGTAACTTTTTACGTTTTATATAGAAATCATTGTTTCGGTGGTGTCATGATTATTTTGTATTACTTTCCAAACTGACGTAAAGGTGTTTTTTTTTCGAGTAAAGTATAATAAGTACGTAAATATTCACACAAGTGCAAACAATAGTGCAAAAAGTGATAAAAATCGTAAAAATTACGTGCGCATGTTTAAAGTGACGTAAAAATATAAAACATATAGAAATTCAAAGAGTGGTGCAAACATTTGATAAAAAACACATAATTATTGTGTGTGACATAATATGAAAAAAATCTAAAGTTGTAGAGCGAAAGCGTAAATACATGATTTTTTATTGATTAATGCTTTCTCTTAAAAAAAAAAAAAAAAAATCAAATAAAGTATTTTAATATCGCGTGTCTTATTTATCGGAATCGTTCCGACTTTTTCGCGCGTACAGTTTTCATCTCTTCGTCGTCAACAACTTCTGTAATAAGTAATCGCGATCAAACACGATCTCTCGTTATTTCACGACAAAATGAAAATAATCGTCGAAGAAGCTGCCGAGATGTCGAGCAAAGGCGTACTGAGGTAGGGGAGGTGAATAATCGTAAATGGGTAGTGGTGAATTTGATGGTGAATTAATTTTTCTGACTGCTTTCGTTGACTAATGTACGGATAAATGAACAACAAATGTCAAAGGTTGAGGTCTTGAAAGAGAGAAAAATAGAAAGAGAGACGGGACGGATTTTGGAAAATTTCAGAAGACGGAGAGGGTTATAAGGGTTGTATCGGCTGGTAACATCACATCACTCTAATGTATACTACAAGAGGTTTGAAGGAGAGTTTTTTTCTCGGGGCCACATATTGTGTGGTATCGGGGCCCAATAATCCTACCTTGAAGAGCTGTACGCCAATGACGGCGAACACGAACTGCAGGAGGCTGGTGACGAGGACTATGTTTCCGATAGTCTTTACCGCTACGATGACGCACTGTACTACGTGCTGGGTTCACAACATTAATCACAATATATATTTTTCGTTCCTTTCGTGATAGAAAGAGAGAGAGAGAGAAAAAGATAAAGAGATAGAAAGAGAGAGAGAGATGAAAATTATGCGTGTCGCGCGTGAACGCTTATACTTCTCTCTTACAGCGATCTTAATGTGACGAATTTTTTTGCCGGTGACGAGAGAGTTCGAGTAGTTCTTCCAAATCGTGCAAGCGATTCTCTTTGCAAATTTTTCACGAGAAATATTATATAATTAATTTATATTTATCGCGATAAACGTGTCTGATTAAAAAAAGAGCGTCTTTTTTTATATTTCTTTGTAATACACTGAAAAATCTGACGCGTGTCTAGAAATATAAATAATAAATAATATTTTTTAATCAATTTCTGTAAATTTTTTAAATTATTGTTGTAATCTACGCGATGATTCTTGTGTCATAAAAACGACTCGTTTCTCCGTTAGCGCAAAAAATTTTTTTTTTTTTTTCGAAATTAGCTCGGCGCTCTTCCACCATTCAGTATGAACATTACTTAACTTCGCGAACGCTTGACGATTAAACGTCGGGCTAAGGGCTTTTGTGTTTCGCGATCGAGATCGATCCGGGGAATCTCAGTACAGAGAGAGAGAGAGAGAGAGAGAGAATTGTCCGTTCGCGCACTTGAAAAAATTCGTTCGATGAATCAAATGCGCGACTGGTTAATTCTTTCATCGTTAAAGAACCCCCGAATCGATTTCTAACATTCGTGGACAACGAGGCCTGACGGAAATATTGGGAGCGATTCTTTAAGTTTAGCTTAGCTGTGGACACATTACGGTGTTTATTATGCCTCTGGCGTTACGTCTATATTACGTCTACTATAGGACGTATGCTGTGTGAAGTGGGCCAGTTTTTAGCGAACTTACAAAAAGTAGAGATAAGGCAAGTGAAAGTGATACCTTTAGTCCCTTGGCGCGATTGATGGCACGCAGCGGTCTCAGTACGCGAAGCACACGGAGCACTTTAATGAAGGAAAATGCACCAGGTCTGCGAACATTAAATAGTAACAGCGTAAATGGCAAATGAAACAAACGTTATTTGTAACAATAGAAATAATATCTAAACAAAAACTTCATTTTTCAAATAATCAAAGTTTTTCTTAACTTTTTCGGAAGGAGCATATGTCTCGAAAGGCTTAACGAAACATCGCTTCGATAATTCACTCATATAAATCGATCATAATTAAATAATATACGTATATAGATTATTAATATAAAAGATATATAGAAAGAATTTTACGTACTTGACGGTCATAGAAATGAGAGAAGCGCAAACGACAAGAAGATCGAGCAGATTGAAAGCCGAACGACAAAACGCGCCGTCGTGAATGATGAAGCCGTACGAGATCATCTTGAGGCAGATCTCGATCGTGAAGACAGTAGTGAAGAAGTAATCGAAGTTAGTCAACATCTGCAACACGAGAAGAGTGTCGTGCACACGCCACTCACTTAGTCATTTCAAACAGATGTATGATGTTTGTGTGTCTCCGTTAATTTCTCCGGAAATTTCCGGATAAAAGATAAAATCTCGACAGATATATTTCGTCGCTGAGGAAAAATCGATTTTATTATCTTCTAGCGCGAGATTGTATACCTGATTTCTGGGCGACAAGGCATTCAGTGGATCCTCAGCGGCCAACATCGCGGAGGAAATCATAATGCAGACCAATATCACGTTGCTGAAGTAACTGTGATTGCAAAACCAATGACAGAACACGCGGAACCTGCGAAACACGATTAGAAAACAAACAAATAATCGAGAAGCTTAAAATAAAAATATAAAATCGCGAAGAGCTAAAAAAAAAAGATTTGATCGAATTTATTTTATTTTATCTTCGTGTTTAAAATTCACGTTGATAAAATTCGCGCCTGCTCAGTACCTATTGGTGCTCGAAAAAATAAAGAATGCTGAACCGGCCGGTATCGGTTCCTTTTTGGTGGCCATGTTATATTCGGACAGTCTTCGTGGTCTAGCAGTCACTTCTTGTCCGTTATCTAAAAGAGAAATGTTCACCTTTTGTGTCGTTCTCACATCAATTTCAATCACACATTTCCTCTTTCTTTAATTATCATATATTTATCCAAATATAAATCTCAAGATAAATCTTCGATTGTACACGTGTCAACGTTGTTTGCCTGTTAATTTCTGAAAGTGAAGTGAAAATGACGAACGATAAACGCACCTTGCATCTCCCCGTGCTCGCACTCCTCCTCCTCCTCCTCTTCTATTTCTTCGTCGGACTCGACGTTGAGTCGTACTTTGTGTGTGTTCATGTCTTCGCTCTTCTCCGATCTGCAATCAGTGTTGTTTTATTCCCGAGCTTTTCAATTAATCTCAGTGGAAGTTTCGAAAACCACCTGAATGAGGATGTACAGCGCAATAGTAAATTGTGAGCGCGTTGCGCGTGTTCCTCGTCCTTGAACTGTGATTATCGACTCTCTCGTCAATTCTCTCGTGCATTACTAGCCACGAGAGCGTGTTACATAAGGAGAGAGGTGCATAGTAACGATCTCTAATCTCGTTAATGTGATAACGCACGTTGTGTATTATTATACAACTTACGTATATGAAAGAGGGAGAGAGAGAGAGAGAGAGAGAGAGAGAGAGAGAGAGAGAGAGAGAGCTTACGTTTCGGTATCGAGTGCGGCTTCATAGTCCTCCATTGTCTCGTTAGGGTCATGTTCGAGATCTGTACCACCGCCTTCGTCCTCTCCTCCGATGCCCTCGCCGCCGTCACCGGCTTCGCCGCTGACTTCCCTCGCTGGCGAACCGCTGTGAGATTTGTTTTTCTCCGCCTGCGGAATACAAAAAGACATGGAAGGGAAAACAAAAATAAATCGATACATACATACATACGTAGTAAACATAAACATAAACATAATTAATTTAACATAAATATAATTTAACATAAACACGTAATTTAGTCCCACAATTATACGTACGTATTGTTTTCTACCCTAACATATTGATCAAACTATGTAAAAACCACACTAAATTTTTACAAAATGTAAATTTTTATAAAATGCACGTTCTAGACATAGTTTGCGCAACGTGAAATTTATTGCTATTCGTCGAAAAAAATCCGTGAAACGAGAAATTAAGGAATTTATCAAAGAATGCAAAAGTTGTTCGTACGTTTATGCGTGTGAATGATGTCGAATAATATCGAACTTCTATATATTTTAATTAAATTCTCTAGTTAACATTGCCGCGATAGACGAGTAGTCAATTTTCAATAGCGTGTATACAAATCTTTCTTCAAACTAATAACACGCGTTCGCAATTTCGAACATATGTAAATAAGTACACAAGCAAATATTTGATCATTGTCAGATGATGTTTGCCAAGTTCACGCGCTAATTATAACTCTTTAATGCAACATCATAAATATTTCGTTATTTTAGATGTTATTATTTGTTTGGTACATTGTAAATTGTTACCGTATTGAGAAGAGAAAGTGTGGGAGAGTCGTGCGTTTTTCGCGTGCATTGATACGACATGGCTACAAAGAAAATGAGAGTATCTCTTTCTTTTATCTCGTCTTTTACGAGCGTTAAGTACTGGTGCTCAATTACTTTCACGAGATTGGGCGTCGTCTTGTCGTCGTCATCGCGTCATGCTCGCATTCATTCGAGCAAACTCGCATTGTCCATAATGCGCTTCGTGATAGGCGCTTCTTCACAAGTGCTTCACGAAGCGTGAAAATATGCACTCTAAATTAAACGGATCATTTATGGAAAATCGCAAGGAATGTTTTGTTTAAATTCTAAAACCCGTTTAAAAAGGACGTGCTCGAATTCATTGCTTTCTTCTTATGCCAAAAGGTCATCTCTGATATGAAAAATTGCAACTTTGTTTTTGATAACACAAAAAAAACATTTATAATGAAAAATATGTAATTTTTTTTTCTCTCAAAAAGTGTGTGAAGAATTTTGGCCATGGTTTTTTTTTTTTCAATTCATTGATTGATCAATCGACTTAGTAATCGAATATAAAACGAAACTCACCTCTTCTTCAGCTTCCTTCTCGATGGCAGTTAGAGACTCGGCATCGGCGAGATTGTCGACGGCGATAGCCAAGAATACGTTCAAAAGGATATCTGTGTATTGCTATCTTCGTTAAGGATCAATTAAAGTTTATTACATCAAAAAACTAGATATAATTTATAGTTTCCTTTTTAAGATTAAATTTTATCGATATTGCACCCATCAGATGTGATTTAACTCGCGAAAAACAAACTACAATTGCTCGTTGCAAATTTATCTTTGTTTTGATAAAGGATACAATTGCCGCATATGAAAAGAATGATGAAGTAAACGCACGCGAGCACGCCGATACTGGCGACGCCGCCGTAAGCTCGAATCCCGACGTACATCACAACGTTCCAATCCTCGCCGGTTAATATCTGAGAAATCGAACATATCGCCGATTTTAGAAATACGGAGGAGGTAGAAAAATAGAAACATTAAAAAATATTGGGTCATCGTTTCAAAATAATGAAAAAAAAAAAAAAAAAAAAAAAATCAAAACTCTTGTAAGTGCAGCTGTGTAGAAACTATCAAGATTTTTTTTTACCTGAAAAACGGTGAGCAAGCTTTGCCAGAAGCTGTCAAAATTGTGACGTGTTTTTTCCTCATTGTCGCTGAAATTGAATTTTCCACCGAAGACCTAAATTTGAAGTATAAATGTTGACGGATAAGCGGTTTTGCGTTGTTAAAAAAAAAAAGAAAAAAAAATCATCTCCTCTGAATACGTCGCGCTTTCGAATCGATCTACCTGCATGCCCAGAAGAGCGAAGATAACGATGAATAGGAAAAGCAGGAGCAGCAGCGAGGCAATCGATTGTATTGAATTCAGTAAAGAGGCCACTAAATTCGACAGTGATCTCCAATACCTGCGAGAAGAAAACGAAACAACGCAACTCGCGCATTCTCAATAGACTTGCAGAGAATTCAATTACAAAAATTTCTCGCGTTTTTTTTTTTTTTTGAAAACAGATGATGGTTGACGAGTATACGTGTATTATATACATATTTTATATCATATCTTAAAAGAGATTTGTACTCACTTTGTTACTTTGAATACCCTGAGCAGCCGAACGCAACGGAGTACGGAAACGCCAAGAGGCGGCATCACATGTGTATTTGTAAGTATCATTTCGGTGATCGAGCCGATCACGACGAAACAATCGAAACGATTAAACAACGAGACGAAGTAACCCTGCGAAGTAAAATTACGTGCTGCGTGAAGAAATGAAATATATTTTTCAAGAAAACAAACGTCTCGTTCTTTCTTGCGACTGACAAGATGTTTATCAAGACAAAAATTACAACAGTAATCACGTAAACAGCAAGTAACCAACTTGTTCGTCAATTTGTCATAATTTAAAGACTGAAAAAAAAAAAAAAAATTGTTTTGAGAAGTTGGATAAGGATGACTCACCTGAAAGCCTAAACTGTACATTTTTAACATCATCTCCATGGAGAACAGCACGATGAAAAACATGTTCGTGATCTCTGGCGACAAAGAAAAGAGATTTGCGTTACGAAACGCAATACCCGAAAAAGCGCCGGAGCGGTTTATAATTAAAAGCTAAAACGCACAGGCGAACGCGCGCGACTTTATTTCCGCTAAATCGCGCGCGGCAACCAAACTGCGGTATTTACCTTGAAATTCGTCCAACCAGTGCGGCTGATTGTAGTGCTCCGAGGCGAGAACACCGGTATTCAAGAAAACCAGAACTATGATGAGCCAATAGAAGACCTGGGACTTTACGGCCTTTCTGCAGGCTCTTCTCAATCGTCTGTTCACTCTGCGAAATTCGTATCACAATATCGTGACGGTCTATCTAAGACTTGACGCACTCACTTCTGTATATACGAACGCACAAAACGGTTCTTTGAACGTGTCGGACAAACGCGGGCTTTGATCTCCCCCCGGGCCGATGTTTCTCCACATGTGTGCGCACAAGTGCAACCACGCGGTTTCCGAAGAAAGTTTTTTCTTTCTAACACTCGCGTTGTCTCGTAACATTCGGACAAAAATATTCGCCATTACATTTTAAAATTTATTGTGTTCGTTCGCGCCGATACGAAATTTAAAGAAATATTTAGGAAGATGTGGGGGAGATTACTCACCTGTCCAAGTCCCTTTTCTTCTTCTTCCAAACGGACTCCTGCTGGATTCCCTCCTCGTCGCCCTCCAACTGATCCGTGCTCTCTATTTCGTTTTGTTGCTTGGCTACGTAATATTAAACATTCGAACTCCGTCAATTAATTAACATACTTCGACTCGAGAAGAAGAGAAAGTTATTTTGTGTCACAGAGAGAAAGGAAATCGAGTTTAACGTGTACAACTTGCCAAATTCAATTTGCGCACACCTACGCGTATTTGCATAAATTGTGCACGCGATAAACGGGGATATCATTTGTTAAACAAAATTTATTTCTGCACGATATTATTTTAGACAAAAGTATAAAATATACGTATATTTTCTCGCTCGCTGCGACTTGTAAAATTATCATTATCGAAACAGTCGCACACTTTGAACTTCATTTTCGATTCGAAAATTGATTTTCGAGCATTTCGAGTTTAAAAACTATTGAGTACTACGTTCAATGTTTCTCTTATCTTTTTTGCATACGTACTTTTCCCATCCTGCTTCGGCTCGTCAGTCTCCGGCTCGATGTCCTCGGCTTGCGTGATCCAATCGAGATAACCCCTGAGATCGTCCTCGATCTGTTGCTTTTCCCTGAGCTTGTGAAAGTCACCGCGCGCCTTTGCTTTCTCTCTCTCCTTGGAGAATTCGCTGCACCGAACAACAAGATGTATACGATATCGCTCCGCGATTAAAGGTTACACGACGCGCGGAAGAAACGTCGTAATTGAAACATTCACAGGCGATCAAACGGAAATCGACACGAGAGGGTGAAGAAGAAGCCTCGTTTTTTATTCTCTCACCCTCGTGTTTTCTGTGAAGCGACCTCGCGTCCCTCGCTCGAACGAGGGGGGTAGAATGAGAAGTGCGGCGACATGTAAATGCATCCACGCGTATCGAGAAACACTCAGGGACGCGATGTCGTTTCACGTCGTTTACAATCTTTCATCTTTTATACGTCATGCGAAATAGGAGCGGCGAATGATTTATATATTATATATTTATATATTACATATATTGTTTATTATTTATATATCTCCAAGGACGTCTAATTGATCCGAAACGTAACGCAGTTTTTTTTACACGTGACATCTTTGTCTTGATGGAAAATTTCTTTGTTACGACACAAATTAAGTAAGATACTCGATCCAATTAAATTCTAAAATGTGCGTTCAAATAAAAGTTATTGCTTACGTCTTTGTACAATTAAAGTTACACGTTTAGTGTTCAAGATTTTTTATTTTGATTGATGTGATTCAACATGACAAAATTATTGACACGCAAATGTTCACCAGTTGATTTTGATTATCGGGACTGTGTTCAACGTTCAAATTTCGACACTTATGAATTAAAAAAAAAAAAAACGTTTAACATTGATTGAAACTACATCCAACGACGATGTTACATCATCACTTGTATAAATAAAAGAATAAGCTCGCGAGAAGACGAAGCAGGATATATTGTAGCAGATGCGAGCCACAAGACACAAGATGTACGCGTGTGTTTATTGAATATAAATATAAAAAAAAATTACAAACATATCGATCTCTTTATTTGGATCTTCTTTGGTGTACAAACAAAAATAAAATGAAATAAAAATTAACAAGATGAAGAAGATCCAAATAAAGGGAGCAAAATGTTTGCGATCTTTATATTTGATAAATCACGCACGTACATCTTGTATTTTCGCTTGCATCTGCTCCAACATTCTGTTTTATATTAAATAAAAAATTTGCAACGCGTAGTCAATCGTATTTGTGCTCCTATTGGTCTATCTCATTGCTTTAAACTCTATTATATTCTCTATACTAGTTACATTTAAACTCTAATCTAGAATATTAATTGCGAAACATGAATTTCTGTATCGATATTTCGAAATCAGTCTTCTCTCGCGTCGCGAACCACTCTTCGGAACATATTTTAAATACTATAATTTCGCGTCTGATATTAGACAATGTTTGCGCGATTGGCTTTAAACGGTGAGAAAAAGGGAAGAAAGTTAAATCGCGCTTATCACCGATATCACTCTCACGCCTCGCTTGACCGCTTTATCGATACGCAACGGAGTGTGTGTGTGTGTATAAAGAAAAGAAAAAAATATTTTTATCTCGTCCCCTTCACACAATTGAGAATGACAAAAACTCCGCGAGGATAAATGTCTGATCTTAACTGGGTTACATCCTACGAAACGATCGCGCGCGTGTTTTTACAAGAATTGTTGTTTTCTGTTTTTAATTAATTAATTAAGCCGCATACTCTCTTCTCAATCTCATTTTTCCCGCGATTAAAACTTTTTCGACAATAAATTTAGATTTAGAACTTTTTTTTCTCGCACTTACCCGGACAACACACCGAGAATGAGATTCATCACGAAGAAAGCTCCGAGGATGACCATCGAGATGAAATAAATCCACTGCCACGTGCTTCCCATTGCATCCTCGATCTAAACAGGATGCGATTTTTTAAAAGTATGTACTTGATCTTTTTGAAAAATTAAACATTTCTGTTATCATGCAACGGAGCAATTACGCGTAACGATTTTTTTTTTACATTGTAAAGTACGTCCGTCCAGCCCTCGAGGGTGACGCATTGGAAGACCGTGAGCATAGCCAATCCGAAGTTATCGAAATTCGTGATGCCGAAATTAGGTCCTTCCCAAAACTGATTACTGCAGTAGTACTCGGGCGAGATTCGAGAGCATTGATAGCCCCCCGGGCCGCAGGGATGCGGTTCGTCCATTATCTCGTCTGCGATATAAAGCGGAATCAAATTTTTAATCCAGGCGATATACCGGCAACAGACCGTAATAAAGCCCGGCCTGGCCGTAAACGCCAGCGCTAAAAAAGTTCTAATTGGTTCGGAGCCAGCCGAGTAACGAGCTTTAACATGTAATATCCTGGTAAAACGTTTGCATACTTTTTACGTACATCTACGGGAAGTAACCGGAAGCCTAGCACTTTTCCCGCTGAAGCAATTTATCGATCTTTCTGTTTCACACTTCTAACGATATACACACAGCTCGATTAAAGGAGCTTTGTTAAACGCCACTGTTTTATCAAGCTCTACGTTACATCGCGTGAATTACATATCCGGATCTTTTGACACGTTAAAATACGTTACTTTACCTACATAATCGTTTGACAACTAATTGACTGTGTTTTTTTATACAAATAAAAATATATTATAAGTATATAAAGTAGAAGAAAAAATCACATTAAGTAAAAAGATTTTTTATCTTATTTTTAATTAATATGAGAATTAATTTTATCATAATTTAAATAGTTCATTTATTTAATTTTACAGAAAAAAAACAGAGACAGAGAGAAAAGAATTTTTACGTAAAACTGAGAAGAAATAAAGAAAAAGAATTTGATCTCCTGATTTCTCGATGCGCCTTGGCTAAATTTCACAAAGCTTTTGTATTCGCCTTTCTGAGATGATGTGCCGCATGCTATTTTACTCATTCCCGTGAATCAGCTGTTTGCTGTGCCATACGCAAATCGTGTGCGCGCCTCTCGCGCTAATAATAATTAGACGTTAGTTTCGCGCGTCTACATCTTGAGTTGAGAGAGAGCGAGAGAGAAGAGAATCATATCTAAAATAGCTGTCCTAGCAAAAAGTGTGTTTTGAGGCTAAGCTGGGAGTTCCCCACGAGGTCCCCTAGCCAAATCTCCTTCTTAGTTCTAACATACCTAATGGAATTTTTCTCTCTCTCTTTCACCAAAAATCGCACAACTAGTAAAACATCTGCTCTTCCTTCATCTCTGTCTCTCTCTTTCTCTGAATCTCTAAATAATTTAAGAGACTTCTTAACATTGTATGTCTCTAGCCTCGTTAATTTTGCATTTTATCATCTGATGCCGGATAAAAAGGATGCAGATAAATTTCTCGGATCTGCAATCTAACGCCCGGCAGGCGCTAGGTGCAATTTGAATCTCATAGTTTTTTCAAACTTTACTTTGACTACAGAGACTAAGTTCAAGTTTTTTTTTTTTGAACGCGAAGACGATTTAACTTCAAAAAAAAAAAAATGGCGTGTGTTGCTTACGTCATATATAAAAAATTACGTGTTTATACATATGTATTTTTACTTTTGCATAAAAGTTTTTAAAAAATGACGTTAAAAAATATTCAAATTGAGTTTGTTTGGAAACCTGAGCAAGAGAGCAATTCTGAATTGAGAATTTAATAAATTTAACAGCATCTGTGCGCGTCCCACCGCGCTCCCGCGCGCATCGATCTGCGATGTAATTCGCCGTTGTGAGAATAGCGTTGCCAAAAACGTCGCGCATAAAATTTGTATCAGAATACACGTCAACCCCGAAACGTGCACTTACCAGTTAAATTGTGCCTGCAAGTTTTGTGCATCTTTCCGGAGAACAACTCGAGGCCGATGATGGCGTAAATGATGATGACGAAGAGAACTAATAAAGCAATGTGCAAAAGTGGTACCATCGCCCTCAAAATAGAGTTTAGGACCACCTGAAGACCTAAGGAGATAACAACACTTTATCTTTAATGCCAAATATTATATTATTTATACGTGCATATATATAAATAATATAAATAATATACATATATAAATATTTATAATCTCTTATGCAGCTGAAAAGACACTTTTTTTTTACAAACAATCCAACTGTAATTATTTTAACATCTCACTCGCAAAATCTTTGTCCGCAATATCTTTGTTTCATTGATTTCTGAACGGGATCAATGTTCAACGACAAGTGATATTGTTCATTGTGACAAAAATAAATATTTTGAGCGGGAAGCCTTACTTGGAACACCGGAAACCAGCCTGAGAGGACGCAGAACACGAAACGCCCTTAAGGCCTTGACGTCGAAACCCTCTTTCATAAATGTTGTCAGCACCGTGCTTATCATTCTACAAGAAGAAAAAGAATGGAAAAAAAGTTTTTCATACTATAAATGAGTAAGGACTAACGGGATGACAATAATGATGATAATGATAATAAAAAACGAGCACTTGATGAACAAAGAACTGAAACCACTGTAGAAATAATTTGTCCCTGAAGAAAAGAGCTTTATGTGCCAAGGCTACTAACAGCATTATAAAGGCCGTATAACAGTATCATGAGGAAATTTATGAGGTATAAAAAAAGAGAGGGGAAAAAATCTTTCAACGAAAGAATCTCCTTTTTATAATTTTATAACTATATATATATATTTAAATATATATATATATATATACATATATATTTTGTGTTTCTGAAACAAGTAAAATATTTTTATCTCTTTCACCATCTCTAATAATTAAATCGCGTCTTTTTTAATTACGCGACATCCGCGTGAATATTGTTCGACGATCATAACTTTAATGCGTAAACGAGATTCACTGACCGGAAAAAAAAACCAATTCTTTCCCAGTAAGACAATTTCGAGTATCGGCGATTGTTGTATATTCCTCGCGCATTAGACTCCACGTCGTTTGAATAATGGCTCCTACGTGATAGTCGACTCGAGAGAAAATAAATGTTCCCTTCCCGCGGGGATATTAAGACGGATCGATTTTGCCGTGTCGTTAACCGTGAACGATAAAGTTATCAGACGAGAACGGCGAGAACGAGGAAGCGGCTGCTACGAGAGCGCTAACTGCGAAGCAAGTAGCTATGTATGTTGATCGATCCGAACGTCGTAATCTCGCGAGTAGATTTCGCGGACGATCCGCGAAAATCGTTGCAGCCACTCGTTGTGGAAGTAAATTCGCATTCGCGGATCATTAACCGGAGAATAGCGGCAGATAGCCGATACGCTCTGTTTGTCAACTCCTCCTAAGCAATTTGTATCTCTAAAACGCACATACATACACACATACACACACACACACACACACACACAGATATGCGCTCACGCGTGGCTCCTCGTTTCTTTATTCTGCAAAAATCGATGATCGCGTAAATAGGGTACCATTATTTACGTCACGTGTATATAGTGCGCGTGGTAGTAATGGATGCATATAGAGGTTATGTATCGGGAGTCGATACCCAGATAGGATTATGGTGTGTGGGACACCCACTCGCTGCAACGAGTCATTTGATACAACGCGGTTTGCGATTTTTAATTTTTTTTTTTTTTTTTTTTTTTTTTTTTTTTAATGTCCCCACAAAGCTGCCACAAACAGAAGTTCAAATATTTTCCAAACTCTTCAAACAACATGGCGTCTCTTTTGGATTACTTTTTTAAAATTACAACAACGTGCGTTTTTAAATCTTTAAAGAAAAAATATATTACGTAAAATATTTCAGAAAACGTTATTCGTATCGTAACGATACATACTCGTACAACAAATGATATTAACCGCAACAATGTAAATTGTCACATCTGTGGTTATGACTCTAGCGCAAAATACTAATTACGGTTATTGACGCTCGAAGGGAAATACCGTATAAAGAGGAATAGGAATTACATCAAGCGCGGAGCTCTCGTGAAATTTCATTCGCCGAGTTGCGAGAGCGGCTGTGTCACACGCGGATGTGTTACAATCGACTGGATTTAATTTACACGCATGATTCGCGAGATAATGTCGACCGTATCATTTCACTGCGCGCAAATTACATGTTGTTAACTGATTTCCTACGTCGACCTCGAGAAGTAATTCGACCGACTCGAACGTAGATTCTCCGCGAGTAATATTTCCTTCCTTCCTTCCTTCCTTCCTTCCGACGGCATCTTTGCCGTCAATTTCATTTTATTTACGCTTCGCAGACTACACCGGACTGCTGACTTGCAAGCTTCGGACTTAAATCAATTTTATTCCATAACTTTGAACGTTCTCATGAATATAGTGGAATTTTTAGGACATAAATATAACTTAACGCATCGCTTACGCGCGCGTTTGTTCGCGATGAAAAAATTGCGCTATTTTTTTTTAATTTGTGTAATGCGCGCGAAAATACAGTAGCCACGAAGGGAGTAACTTTGGTCACATTTGTCGCAAACAAAAGATTTGAGCAATCGCAAAAAATTGTTTTGATATTTATATAAATTTAATCCGTTGACCAAAGATATGTGACAAAAAAAAGAGCTGCTGCAATTAAATAGAATGTATTAAAAAACATGTATCTTTTCATCTTTTATAATAATAACATTTTGTAATAATAACAATTATTTTGTTTTTTATATTATGTTGAAAATATGTCCAATTTGATGGACTAGTCTCTGTTAACTCAAATTCAATTGGGTTATACGATTTGTCACTATTATTCGCGCGTATCAACGGACGAACGTCATCGACAATGTGTGTGCACGCTAGGAAGACATCATCAGGTGCAAACTATACTCATCGCCAAAGTGTATACATGATCGCCACGCATTATCGATCACGTCGGTATTAGTCCAATTAACTTGCAGCCGATAGTATCCGGGTTGCCGGTGTATCTTCGCTACAACGTTCGTTCGCAGACAAAATAAGAGTTTGTAATAAAAATTTGCACGTACCTACATAAAAACGCGCACACGTGAAAGCGCGCATATGTGAGTACGCGAGAAGATACGCGAGAAAAATTTTATTCTTTTACATGTTGTCGGTTGAAAAATAAGAAAAAGAAACATGTGAGATCGTTTCAGCTTTTGTGAATTAACGCTGAGCCTAAAAACAAATGTGTGAAATTGATATAAAGATGAAAACACTCACCCGATAACGACTATCGTGAAATCCAGCAGGTTCCAGCCGTTGCGGAGGTACGCTCCCGCGTGGGCGACGAAGCCGTAAGATATGATTTTCATCACGCATTCTACCGTAAAAATCACAAGAAAAACGTACTCTATCTTCTCCTGTAACAGCGAAGACAAAAAAAAGTCGTGAAAAAGACGTGTATTGTTTATTCGTTATCGCATAAAGAGCTTTAAAAATAAATTACAAATACAAGAAGAGCTGATCACAAAGCTTGAAATTTATCATCGCAGACTCTGAACTTTTAATATTTCAATAATCGGAAAGGAGAGATAAGCGTCAAACGCAGTAAGACATTCTCGCAGTTTGATCGGGCACGTTTTCCCGGTGTCAAGCAGAGGTAATTAAACGTGGCGGGAACAAATTGTAGCAAGGTGAAACTGCAATTAAAAAACGTAGCGGAAAAGAAGACAATATATTGCGCGGTGCGCACGTACGTCCGTGTTAAACATTTAAAGCACGAACGTTGTTGCGGTGGCAGTAAGATTACGGCGAGTTACGGCAAGAACGTGATCACCATTAAATGCTTACAGAAAGGGACGTCGGCGTGCGTTGATATATATTTTTTTTCTTTTTTTTTTTTTTTTTTCAAAGACTAGCACTAATTTTTCCTTCTACAACACAGATACGTTACGTAACCTGTTGCTTGTTTTTCTTTTCCTTTGCGCACTTGGCGGATCAAGAAAATTTTCAAGTAGAATCTTCTGCGAATTTCTCGAAAGTGTGGTTTTTTAAGAGAATTTCTCATTATCGTATTTATCTCGGAACGTGAAATTAATAAAATAATAATTTGAGCTATAAAAACTCAATATAAAAATTAACTTTCAATATTCCATATGTAGTCTTTCAATGACAAATAATCTCTAATCACGAGCGGAGAGAGAGAAAATATATAGGGTTGCAAAAAAAAAGAATAAAAATTAACTAAAAACTTGGAAAATAAAAACTGACACATATAACAAGAGAAGACTTTAATAATACATTTAAACGCAATGAAAAACAAAGATGCGTTTTTTGAATTTAAAAACAAGACATTTCGATCTTGATCATTTCTCACTTTAGCATAAGTGGTTAGTATCAGCGACATAGCCGATCGTCGCGCAAAAGAGAGTTAATCGACGCGTAGCGCTACGGCAAGCGGAGGAAGAACAGCAGCAGAGCACACAGGCCTTGGTGAGAAAAACAGGCGAAACAAAAAGAAGAAGCGAAGGGTTAAAAATAAGACTGCAGAACCGCTCGCTCGTATAGATCAGAGAAGCAGGGAAAAAAAGCCACCACGGAGAAGGCGGGCATACACGGGTGGCGAACGTTTAAAGGGAAGCTGAAAGGCGCGCGGATGCGGCCACAGAGAGGACACGAACCCCTTGTGTCTTTCTCTTTCACTTTCCGCGCGATATCCATTACGTTTAATTTCCGAAATCGATCGATTATTGGTTCGCTGAAATAGCTCGAGTGGCCATCACTGGCTGCTCAAGTTGCTCGCCACGTATGACGCGGTTACGTCATTTCGAGGGCGCGAAATTGTCTATGAACTCTCTCCAAAATGCTTCGACAAATGTTGACACTATATTTCACTATTTTATTGTATGAAGTTTACGTAATATATTAGAAAATGCATTGTATGTGTGTGTGTGTTTGTTGCCTTTGTAACGCGAAGTGATTTTTTATCAAGTCCGTTAACCACACCACGTGAACGGAATATGAGAAGAGCAGGTGACAAGATCACGAATCCAGAGATTACACAAGTATGTCTGATGAATAATAGATCGCGACATTAAATGCCAGATCGCGTTTGGAAACGAATATTTCATCGTGTGTGAGAGATTAGACCGTTCGATCTGGGCCATCTACGAGTCCATGTATATTTTTGCAATATTGCTACGGAGAACACAGTAATTAATATTTGAACAGAATTTCGGGGAATCTAATATATTGTCGTACTTTATTTATACAACTAATTTGATTACTTACGTTTTTTATATTAGAATAATAATCTTATCGCAAAAAAATTGAATGTTGATCTACGTAATTTTTTGGAAAGTCGAGACATTGTTGACGGCACACCATAAAACATTCATTTTCCAACTTAAAAACAAATAATAACTTGTATCTCGAAAATAAATTCAGATGCTAATTAATTATTAAATTATTAAATCTTTATTTAAGTTAATCTCGAAATAGCACTTATTATTATTTTTTTTTTAAGTTGAAACGAACAATAAATGTCTTATGACTGTGATAACGATTCCATTCTAAGTTCTACATTTTTCTCTGATTTGTATGTGCAGTATCTCATTCTAAGTCTATATTTTCTCTGATTCGTACATGTATGTACTAATAGAGGCCCGCGATTCAGTTCGCCTTTCAAACGATCAATAATTGAAAGGAAAAAATTCTAAGGTGTTGAGCGGATTGATTTGAACTCGGGACCTCCATATGCTCGCAATCTCTACACTCAGACCGCGAGACCACCTTAAGCCGGTTTTTAATAGATATTCATAAAAATGTTTACATACTCAAAGCCAAAATACATATTACGAAAATTTCTGATATAATATCATATAATCTTATAACGAAAGATATTGAAGTTCTCAGAGATTTATTTCAATCGAGTTGCGCGAAGACTGAAAAAGTTGAAAGTTTTTAAAGAAGAATAGAGATCGATCTCTTAAGATTTGCGACTTTTTCGAGTTAGCTACTTGATTTAAATTTCTTCCGGAGGCGTTGTTTCTCGTCTCTCGTCTTCTCGAGAAGATTCTCCGATAATGATATTGTTATTCTCGAAGAAAATAAAAATTAAAAGAAAAATCTCGAAAGAAAAATTAAAACTTGCGAAATAAATTACATATATATGTATGATATTTGACAAGTCTTGGAGATACTGTTAAATGAAGTTATTGATTACAACTAAACGAGATACAAAAGGAATTTTGTATTATTTTAATTATTATTTGTTTTTGTTTTTAATTATTTGTGTAACTTTTTTGGTCCTAGTTTTTAATTATTTTATTGCATAAAGATTTGACTTGCGTGTCTGTTTTGTGCACGTGTTACTATTTATTTCAAAATTTCTGCGAATTTGACCTACATGTACGTGTTCATTATTTGTTTTCAATTTACAATAACGTTTTTATAACACGGTAGATATATTTGTACTTGATCTCACCAAAAAAATCGTTTTTTTTTTTCAAAGCTGAATATCCACAGATTTGTTCGCGAGAGATCAATCATTTCAACTTTTCAACGTTCTAGTAATTAAGACGAGGATTAAGACTAGGTTCACTTTGCGTTTACTCAGACATCTTTCTGCAAATTCAACGGTGGATTAATGCCGGCGAAGTTTTCTCTTCGACGTATTAATTAGCGCAAGAGACGTTCTTTGAGCGATGCAAAACGAAGTCACACCCTTTGGCGAGAGGCACACCGGCGCCCGGTACTGCGATCCTCTACTTCAGCGTATGCATAATGTGACGCAAAAAACTAAATTTTGTTTCTCTATCGAAAGCCGCATCTCTCTCTCTCTTCCTCTTCGCGCGCAGTCCAAACGGGGACTCAATTCTGAAAGTTTTCTCGTCCGAACCAACTCTCGCGAGTCTCTGCGATCGAGCTCGAACTTGCTTGACACGATTCCCGAAGTGTCCGGCGCGAACATTGTCGATTAATCTACGCGCGCTATACGTGTAAATCGCGATATCCAATTACAATACGCAAGACATATATCGTGCGCACGTCGATGTCCCGAGCAAGATTGAACAATTATTGAACTTTCAGCTCGAATAAGTTTCATGCCGCCAATCCTGCATGACGTCTCGAAATCGATAACTCGATAGAGGTTTGTGTGTGGTTCGTTGAACGGAACCGCCACTCTCTTATTGTCGCGCGAGGGACAAACCCTTTGGTTCAGCATATCACGATCGTTAAAATTGCTTCATTTCACATTCGACGAAGTCGCACAAAGGGACACCCGTCACTTTTCACAATGGGGTGATGATTGCTACTCACTCGTGAATGTATTTTTAGTCCTTTCCCGATTCTTTCTCTTTTAATTTAGCGGTAGCGCGTGTAGATTATCTAATTTCTGCTTTTATTTGAAGGAGATTGATGTAAGCACGTAATAAACGTTGAGTATACTCACCAAGATCTGGTTGGTCAAATTGGAATCGCCGTAGGGATACGGCGTGTAAACGGCCAGAGCAACGCAATTCGCAAATATCGTCATAAGGATGAGCCATTCGAAGGGTCTGCGGAGATAACAGTGATTTGACAGAATAGATTAAGGAAAATAAAAGGATCGTTCGTGCGATAAATCTGTTGTCACAGATTGCTCTGCTAATGTTAATCCTAGCATCATTAATCAAACGTAATCAAACGTAAATCACGATCGTTAAGAGATTTAATGGTAAACTCACATTACTGAATGACTCTTGTGTGTGAAAATAAATATTAATTCTTCGCTTCTCGTGTCAGAAAGATTAACAACATAGTAGTTGCGAGAAAAAAAAATATGTTATAGAAGAAAAGGATACTTCCACTCCACGACACTGATGCACATCTTCCTAAGAGGATTTGTGAGGGTCAGACAGAAAAGCGCTCGGACAGGTCTGTCAGGTGGCGGTTTGCCTCGTCGGACGGGTCTCTTTTGTGCCGACTTGGATGCTGCTCCAGTGGCACCTCCAGGTCCACCTGCTTGCGACTGCGGGGGTGGCGGCTGATGATTTGCGTTCGCCAAATGCGTCGCATCCGGCAGGCCGCCGCCAATAATTGTCTGCTGGCCGACGATGGGGGGGGTTGCGGTGAGGGGGGTCGCGGCAGTCGGCTGGGTCCCCAGCAACCGGGCAGACGGGCCCAACGCCGAGCCCCCATCCCCCCCCGTGCTCATCGGTCGCTGGTGTCGAGCTCCGTGCTTCTTCCTGTGGTACGACGACGATCGCGCCTTCTCCTTCTCCTCCTACGGCAACGACACTCCGGCGATTGCTTTCTTACTGCCACGCAGATGGCGGCGATCGACGCCGATCGACGTGGTGTCTCTGAGGCGCCCCACCTCGCGCTACAGCTCGCCGGCATGCTACGGCACTGGGCTAGTACGAAGCTCCCTCCGTGACCTGCGACAAAAGGTCGAGGGTTCAGAAGGAGAGAAAGATAGAGATAAGAGAGAAGAGAGACAATTCTCTCATTCAGACCTAGTGTGTGCAATCGTGGCTATTCTATAAATTGTAATTATTCATTAGTTAACACACCACGATGAATTCACGCTGAGCGGATCGATATGCATTTTCGCGAAAATGAAATTCATGCACGAGAATATTATATTTCGTGAAAATGCCATATTTTTAAATTTGAGTTCATGCGTGTAGTTTTCGAAATTTATAAATCAAGAGATGTGTGAAACAACGGATATTTTGTTTCGAAAATCAATTATGAATTTTTTCTGTTCCATTAATTCTTATATTATTATCATCATCATTTTTCGACGGCGATATCGATTAAATAAATAGAACGTAATATTCCACGTAATTTAAAAATACATCAGTTATGCGACACAATTATATTTTCTGACGGGTATATAAATCCGCCAGTCAAAGCAACGGGCACAATACGTCGGAGGCGCAGCTTTTCTTCTTTTCTTTTTCTAAGAGGAATAATGCATAGCACACGGCTTTTCGATCGCGCGCCGTGGGTGTGCAATAAAAAAACATAACAAAACTACCGAATGAAAAGAACTCGATTATTTCGTAGCATAGCCTTCGTAGGATTCCAGCGCTATCTATCAATTGCAGTTTCCCTTCCCCGGAGAGTTTGGTCGTTTATTTCTTTTCATTGCGAAAAACGCTGAAAGCTGCCAAGACTTTGTTAAAGTGTATATACGTTAATAGAATAATTGAATTAATTGTGAAATTTAATTTTCTTTTCGTGTGACAGATTATTCTTTTAATGATTTTCTGCCAACTGTGAAATTTGTTCTCACTTTTTTCTTACGCGCGTAATTTTTCGTACGACTTGTATCATCAACGACAAAGAATTATTTCAGAACATCACACACACACACACACACACACGTACAATCAAAATTCTATTTACATTTTTTATTTCTGATTCTATTAATTGTAGATACATTTTCAGTTAATTATTACTTATATGCGAGTTTATTGGAATAGCGAAAAGCGCGAAATTTTTGAGCGAGCAAATTTATCTCGCTAGAAAACGAAAGAAATCCGTATGCGAATTACGAACAGAGATATCGTGCGCGGCGAAGTGATGACAATTACGCCGCAATAGAAATCTGTTGTAACGTTCGCGTTGTAACACAAGCACGGCCGATGTGTTGTTTTCAATCCTGTAATCCCGCTATCGCGGAAAATAAATCGCTCGTGGAGACACGGTTATTATGGAGGATAATTCTTTGCGATTTAACCCGAGAAAGTCGGCTTGTCGAACGATTTTCTTGTCACGCAAAGTTTGTGAAATCTCGCGTCTGAAGTCGAGCCGCACGATCGATCGATTCGTTCCGTAAATCCTACTTTATTCATCTAAACTTTTATTAAACAACAAAATTTTAGAACATTATGTGTGTGTTTAAATTGTAGATTGTATTTTATGAATATTTTATATTCTTGTCGTATGACATATATTTTTTGTCATCAAATATTTTAAATATTTTATGGCTGTATGTGTGTGTGTGTGTGTGTGTTTTTGTTATAATTATATACATAATTTTATTAGATTCTTAACTAAAATTCACATTTTGTTTTCCGTTTTGTTCTTCTTAAAAGATATCGCCAAGATCTCTTGAACATTTTTCATCCATCTCGATACAAAATGTCCATCAGCCGATACAACATGGGCGCTCAAAACAATCTTCGTCGCTGCGGCTGCAAGAGAGACCGGGAGCTTGGGATTTATAGCCGAGTCGTGCTCTATATTTAGTGAGCCTAAATACTAGAAAGCTCTGCGTACGGGCGAGTTTCTCGCGTTTCGTTGTGCCTCGTGTCGCGACACGTGAACTTGTCTGTGATCTAATCGTTTCTGTCGTGGCCTTTGAGCGCGATACGATTTTGTTTCAGAAACTCGTAAAATGTTCGAATCGTACATACATATATTTTATGTGTGTGTATGTGCGCGAAATATTCTACGATATACACATACACACATCTTTACAACTTTTCGTTCGTGCCACTTCGTCGTTGAAGCATTGTGCTCGCGAACTGGCAGCGATAATTTCGCAATGTGCTTTCTCAACTTTACGAAAGAATTACGATGTTATGATTCAGTTATTCAAATGAGCGATAATGAGCGCAATTTCAAATAAAAATTGAAGGAAAAAATGATTTTATTTATTGATTATTTGCGGAATTCTGCGAAAAAAAACGGACTTCTGTAACTCATGACGTGCATTTGAGAGGACTCTGTGATTCAGAATGGCGAAATAGAATGCAATATAGGCGCGCCTTCGCGTAGATTTATAGATAGCAGTGAGGCACGTAACTAGAGATGAGTCATACGTCTTGTAGTACTTGGCGTAATTCTACGAAACCTACGGACGCGACGAAATGTGTGTGCTGTTGATATTTTTGTTAATAATAATTGCTAATGTTTCTTTATTTTATACGACAAAATTTAATCGAATTTATTTTGCGCTAATGTAGTTACTTTATTCGAAAAATGTGATGTTGTGATGTTTAACGTTTTATCATTACTTTTCTGTACTGAGCATGTAAATTAAGCACGTGAAGATGTATAATTAAATCTATATCCAATTAATTTGATAATCGCGTGCGCGCGCGCACACACACACACACACACACACACACACACACAAAGCAGGAAATGTTGAAAATCATTTATCACACAAAAGAATAATAATTTTTTGACAAACTTTTCACAAAATTCCAATAATTGCGCCGATAAAATATGAAGATAAATTCGGTTAAGAATGATAATAAAATACAGAGATCGAATAAAGTAAGCTTATATATTGCAGTCTTGTTTATATTTTTCTATTGCTTTATTCCATCAATTTTGATTGATTGAATAGATTCGATTGTGTCTTCATAACGCACGCACACGCATAATTCCGCAAACGTGGGAAGTAAATATTCAAAGCGGCATCATTCGACATTTCCTTTCCGCGCTCGTAACATTTAACCAAGATTGATCCCCGGGATTTTATCCCGCTACTCTCTCTTGATACCAGCTTCGTTTATCCTGAAAGATCAGCCGCAGCTTCGCATTGTTCGCTAATCTCTCACCTTATCGTTCGCATCTTCCTCGCATATTACGCACGCGATATCCGCATATGCGGATCTGTAATATGTATTTGTGTTTTGAGTTCGCGTTCGCGTTTGAATTATGCAACGGGAATCTTTCGGCTGCTGCGAATGAATAATGCGCCGAAAATCGCGAACAGTTTCCAAGTTATCGTTTCCAGCTGTCGAGGGTAAGGTAAATTCCCGCGAGCGCAATGTACTCCGACGCATGCGGGGCGACCTACCTACGACGACTCGATTTGCACGTCTCACGCGATACGCGAATTTGCGGCAACACGATCAAAGTTTATTGCGAATGCACCGGGATCTTTGCATAGGCAGATGCGCGCTTGTTCTTTCGTAATTTCAGATTTAGAGATCTCGATATATTACACATCTGTCAAGCGTATACGCGGTCTCTCTCTCTTTCTTTCTCTCTCTCTCTCTTTCATCCGTTTTCTTGAAAGATAATTAGATGACGGTTTTGTGGTAAAAGCAAAAATAACGAAGAGAGATTATTCGGTTTGGAAGTGAGATATTTACTTACTTAATATACAGCACACTGATTATCTTGTAACAATTTGCGTATTAAGCAAATGAGATTTATTGTGTGATAAATGAGTGAACACGTGAGAGCAGATCGGTCTATACAAAGGAACGCGATTTACGCAGCGGGATGCGATTTTCACGCTGCGACAAAAAAATTCCGCGGACATCGTGGCGACGACGACTTCGGATCGATCGCGCCTTCGCGTCCGCGAATAATACCGCTCCGAATGAAATCACATCAACGAGACGCTTTCAATTGCACGCGGTCGAGTATCACTCGACTTGTTATATATATATATATATATTATATATATTATATATAGTATGTATAATTGGGCAGAGAGTCTTTTGTAACTGTCGATGTATCGCGTTTGGAAGTTCTCTCAAAGTGGCACACTCCAGGGAATATTTTTATACTTCTTCGTGTTCGCGTACACACGGACGTGTCGTCGAATCGCTCTCTTATCTAGTGTAATTCGATTTCTCTCTCTGTCATTGGTTCTTTCGCGTGTAACAACCGATCGCTTTTTTATCTCTTTGATGTCACAATTACGGTCGATGGTACTTTTGAATAAATGCGCATGCAATATGTGCATTTAATAACTTGAAATTTATATATTTAATATCGTTAGAAGATTTCTCTAGTCTCTGGGATATTTTTAAATTAATCATAATGTGCGTGTGTGAGCGTATACGCGTGTATAAATATAATTTCCAATCTGGATTTCTTTAGGAAAACAAGTTTCATACGTGTAATTTATTTCTGTCAGTTATATGTAATAAAAAAATTGAAATGTACGTATAATAATTGTTAATCTACTGAGTTTCAGTGATTCCAAAGTTTCAAACTAAAGTGATAAGATAAGTCTGATGAGAGTATAAACACGGTTGATTATTGCAAATTTTTTATTATGTGTAATAATGTAACAAACATTTCGATTATTTGGCCGATTATCAATGCTAAAAGTTCTAACAAGATGTCGTTACATGAATAACAAGTACTTTACTATATCAATCTTATAAAAAATAAAAATAAGACGACATTCAAAGGTCGAAATGTTTGTTACATTGTCACATACAAAGGATT